GGCACTTAACAACAACAACAATGATATATAAAGATATAGCTATAGCCAGAGAAAATGACCTGGCCATTTCTACAACAAATATTAAACTGGCTCCTTGAGGGGGGGATGGGATAAGAACATGAACATTTTATAGTCAGTATAAATTATTCTGAAATTTAAAATAAAAGTATTGAATCTAAGAAGGGAAAGCCAATTTTAATCCCCTTTTATTCATTTAAAATGATAAAATATTTAGAAAGCAGTTATTTTTATACTATGTCTATTTACCCATCTCATTATATAAAATAAACCACACAGTTATTGATTTCAGACTCTCACGGTAATCCCAATTTCAACCATTTTTAATTTATATGATTGATATTTCGACAGTAGCCCTTTAACTATTTAAAGCATAAAAATGAGAGCCACTAGCTTTCAGGACTCTGAACAGGCACTATTTTCCTCCCTTCTGTAGTATTCAGGAAGTTAACAACATTCCAAGCATGAGCAATAATAATAAACGAAAAACATTTCCATGAATTTTTTTAAACACCTTCATATATCACCATCTCAGATTTAATTAACAAATTATCTGAGTGACTCCTCAGATTAGACCAAGGAAATATACAAATCGCCCCCCAAAAAACTATGACATGATATAGTCGAAATTATTTTTATTCAGAATGTTTTGAGAGTGTTTGAAAACGGATATGCAAATTGCTGTCAACCTTTATTTACACTACCTTTTTCTGGAATTGTACGTCTTCATTTTCTAGTGCACAATTGTTGTCTTGAGCTTGAGTGTAATAAGAAGAAGCAGAAGAACTCTCTTTACAACATACACGCCAGCTGGGAAGCCTGTAAAACACCAACACAACCAAAAACAATTTTTTTTAAATCTATATATTTCATCATGTTGTTGTTACTGTTAAGTGTCACTGAGTCAATTTGACTCACAGCGACCCTGTAGAAGAGGTTTACAAATGAGCAGCTGATAGGTTTGAACGGCCGACATGTGGTTAGCAGTCAAGTGCTTATCCTTCAACATCATCCAGGACTTGTATGAGCTAGAATTTATGGCAATAAACAGTACAAGATGGTTCGTATCCTTAAGCCCTTAAGAATTTAACAATTTAATGTATAAAACACAAGAGTGTTTGTTTATGTTCACGATCACTAGCCATTGGTGGCTATGTTCTGTGGAGTTGGTTCTGACTCATAGCGACCCCGTGTAGGAGTTTCCGAGGCTGTAAATCTTTACGGGAACAGAAAGCCTCACCGTTCTCCCATGGAACAGCTGATAGTTTCAAACTGATGATCTTGTGGTTCACAGCCCAATTTGTAACCACTACACTACCAAATCAAAACAACAATGAGATATCATCTCACACCAGCAATAACAGCAAAGATCAAGAAAGTAGAGGGCAATAAATGCTGGCGAGGATGTGGAGAGACTGGGACATTCCTGCATTACTTTTGGGATTGCAAAATGGTCCAGCCTCTCTGGAAAGCAATATGGCGCTTCCTCAGAAGGTTAGAAATAGAAATACATTATGATCCAGCAACTCCTCTACTTGGTATTTACCCAAAAAACACAAGCCATAACAAAAGTAGATATACACATACCAATGTTCATAGCAGAACTGTTTACAATAGCAAAAAGATGCAGACAGCTTAAGAGCCCATCAACTGAAGAATGGATAAACAAACTTTGGTATATACACACGATGGAATATTATGCTCCCTTGAAGAATAACAAGGAAGCTGTAAGCCACTGCATAACATGGATGAACGTGGAGGGCATTATGTTGAGTGAAATTAGTCAATCACAAAAGGAGAAATACCACATAGGACCATTTTTGTAAAAGGCTATAAGAAAAAGAACCATACTAAAGGGGGAATAAAAAACCTCTTTGCTGGTTACTGGGATGTGAGAGGTGGTGAGAGGGGAGGGAGGGGAAGGTGGAGTACAAGGTAGAGAATAAACACAGGATAGTTTGGATACTGGGGAGGAGGGCCATACACAAGAATAGGGAAGGTAATGGAAGAACAAGGAGGATGGGAGAATGATTAGGCAGGTTTGCATGGGCTAAGTGGGTCAGAGATAAATAATGATGTATGCACAATCTTGGAACTACAGGGCTCTGGGATACAGGGATACAGGCATAGTTGGAATGGGGAAAATGGGGGAAATCAATGTTAAGATGCTTGGCTGTATTTTGAATCTTGGTTTCCCTTGTATACCATTATAAAATAGACACTTGAGGAGGAAAGAAAGGAATAGCCAGAAATATCACCATAGAAAGCTTGTAAGTCCATCTGCTGCCTATAACGGATTGGAATACCTAAACTGGGGCTACAATAGATCAAAGTGCGGGACCCTACCCAGAGAAGCAGTGAAACCAGAGATGGAGGTAGAGACAATGGCGAGGAGAGATGGAATGGCTGGGGATTCTAGACGCAGAGAGGGAGAGGGGCTGTGTGCTGACGGCCAGGGGACAGGCTTGTAGTGTATACCCTTTGGTTGGTTAATGACGCATGTTGGGAATTGTAACCATGGCAGTGAAATGATATATGATAGGATGAATGTAAAGCTAATGTTCTCCCATGTAAACTATCACATAATTCACAATAAAACATTTTTTTAAAAAAAGTGTTTATTTAATACCCTAAGAAAAACATAAGCATCTCAGGTAAGTTATATGAATTTCATAAATGTTCAACAAAAAAGATGTAACAGAAAAATCAGATAATTATCATGGAAAGAATACAGAAAGTTGCCAAATATCTTATTCTATACATCAAAAAGCATCACGCAGCAATGATATACTAAATTTTCAAGTAATTAAGAATAATTCTAAAGCTACCTGAGCAGTTTCAAAATATAAAAATAAATTATTTTTGAAATAAATTTTTGAAAATTATTTTTATATTAGGAATATAAGTGATATCAAAAACTAACAAACAGCACAGACATAAATGAAAACTTATTAGTAATATGGAATCTGATACAAAAGTACTAAAGAAAACAATAAAAAGACTCTAGGAACATAACAGGTTGTTGTTATTGTTAAGTGTCATGGGGTTGGGTCTAACTCATAGTAATCCTATATTATAACCAAGTGAAGTTTAGTTTTGACATTCAAAAGTGGCTCAATATATCTTATTTAGTTTATCATGTACAAGTATCAAGAAAAAGCATCCATGATTATCTTCACAGTCATAAACATACACATTCATCAAAAGGTTTAATTCACAAAACAAATAAGAATTTAACACAATGTAATACTTAGAGAAGAAATATATAAGAATCCTGAAATAAACAAGAATTATTATTATCACTGGAGAATAAAACAGCACAAAAATATCATTAGTTGCAGATAATGAGCTTTTATGTGTAGAAAATTAAAAATAATGACTTTTTAAGTTTCTACGTCGCTGGGTAGACTATTAAGCAACAAAAACCAATATACTTTCCACACTGAAGCCATCACCACCATCAGTTAGTGCTTAGACAAGAAAAGTCCTCGGTTAAGATAGAAACAATAAAAAGGCATACATTTAGCAAGAAATTTCCTATTAAGTACAACTATTTGAGATTGCCAATATTTGTTGTACTTTTACATTAAAAATATCAACTTCATACAATTCAAATGAATATGAAAGGGAGATCCAAAAACCACATACTGAGGAGATAAAAATTGACTTTTTTGTTGCTGTTGTTGTTGTTTTATTTTTTAATAAAATGGGGTGGCTCTAAAGCTTACATTTAAAAAAAAAAAAGCCAAAATAGTCAAGAAGATTCTGAAAGGAGGGAACAAGGCCTACAGGAAGTCCCTTTAATTATCAGTATATGATACTGCAATGAGAAAGGCAAAGCAATCCTCCAGGAACAAGAAAGAAAAATCTTACAGTAACATGCATGCACAGGAACAAAGGGCAACCCATCTAGATTGGTGGTAAGCAGAAATTCAAGAAGAAACATTTTCAGGAGGATGAAATTTATAGAGTACCTTATTAGTCTTTGAAACTCTTCAGAAGAGATTTAAAACACTAACAACAACTTTGTAATTAAATAGAAAAATAAGGAAATTTAACAAAACAAATATTAATTATAAAACAATAAAATGTAACAAAGAAAAGGGAAAAATAATATTTTACTACATGTGAATATAGCATTTATATAGTCATATTAATATAAATATTGGAGTACTGGTATGGCAATGTAGGATAAGCACTCGACTGCAAGGTTGGTTTTGAACAGAAATGTCGGTGGTTCAAACTCACCAGCCACTCTCAGAAGCCATATACAGAGTCACTATGAGTCAGAACTGACTTGACAGCACTTAACAATAACAATATAAATATTAAGTGATGAGTCCACAACAAATTATGACAGAACTGTATTATAAGCAACATACAGTTATAAGAATTGATCATCTCTAGCAGGTCAAAAGTTATATTAAATATCCAAAATTGATATTAAAGCAACAATTTTAGAGATAAAAGATTAATAAAATAAGTGTTAAACTGGTTTCCCTGAAAATGGAAAGTAGGGAAATGGGAAGTAGGAAATGGTTTCTTTGCAAAACAAATCTATGGGCAGATGATCTTCAACACAGGGATGAAGTCCATTCAATGGGGGAAAAAACAATCTCTTTAATATAAGGTGCTGGAAAAACTGGATATGCAGATGCAGAAAAATGAAATAGGATTCATACTTCACATCATACACAAAAACTAATTCAAAATGGATCTAAAACTATAAAGTTCCTGGAAGACTGCATAGGAGACAATGCTAGAGGACTTAATTTTCATCATAAGTAGTCAATCAAATACAACTAAAAATGTTTGACGAGGAGAAGATATATCAGATCACTAGGATCTCATAAAAAGTATATATATGTATGTGTATATGTATAGATAGATAGATAGATAGATAGATAGATAGATAGATAGATATAGATATGTTGTTGTTGTTAAGTGCCTTCGAGTCGGTTCCGACCCATAGCGACCCTGTACAGGGTTTCCGAGGGTGTAAATCTTTACGGGAGTAGAAAGCCTCATCTTTCTCCCGCGGAGCGGCTGGTAGTTTCGAACCACTGACCTTAAGGTTCGCAGCCCGATTCGTAACCACTACGCTACCAGAGCTCCTTAGATATAGATATAGATAGATACAAAAGACATGTGTTCATCAATAGACCTTACCAAAAGAGAGCAAAAGAACCTCCAAACCAGGGAAAGCATGTTTGTCAAAGATACATCCAGCACAGTTGTATTCTCTAAAGTATTTAGAAAACTTCAACTATTCAATAACAAAAAGACAATCCCACTGAAAAATGAACTAAGGACAGGAACAGTCACTTCATGAAAGGACATTTCGGGATGGAAACAAACAAATGAAAAGATCATTAGCCATTTCCACTGTCACTGAATCGGTTCAGGACCTTAGGGTTTCTGAGATTGTGTATTTTTATATAAGATATACAATCTCAGAAAAATGAGATGATAGCCTCATTTTTCTTCCATGGTACAGCTGTTAGGTTTGAACCACTGGTAAGAATGGCAACAGAAGTGTATTTTGGTACTTCAGCTATACACTTTTCTTTGTTTCTTCCTATACTTTCTGAATTTCTACCATGAACATGTATGTCTTACAAAGAAGAAACAGATTCGGTGTATAAATACTGATAACCATGAGAGTGTGAAAAGATAAAACAACTAAACCTTTTAAGCCTGTGTTACTGTCATCCAACCAAATTCTATAACCCTAATTTCTGAGTTTTAAAAATTTAACATTTAAGATTACTCACTGCCATTACCCCAGATATTCAAAGTTTTCTCTACCTAAAAGAGAC